TTGACTTTTTCATTCTAACGAGGGGCGGACGGGTAGTTTAGTGGTTAAAGCGTTCGCTCGTCACGCCGAAGACCCGGGTTCGATTCCAGACATGGGTACAATGTGTGAAACCCTTTTTCTATCCCGCTTCGATATTGCTGCAATATTGCTAAATGTGGCGTAAAACCATACACACTCACTCACTCACTCATTATAACGACAGCAACCACTATAAGCATAGGCACTAATTCACTAATAATATCATCACGAATATAATCAATGTAAATTCGAGCACCATTTTCATTTGCTTTATGAAAACACGCTGACAATCTACACCGAAACACTGTTCACAATCAATGGAACGTTTCCGAATGTTTCAGAACACAAAGCTCTGTTCTGTATTGGAAGATGGGTCTTTTTACATTCATGGGTGACTGTTTGTGTGATGGTGATGTTTTCCCTCTCGCTGGAACTAAATCGTGGTCTGATATGCTGGATAAATATACAATACTTCAAAACAGGTGATATGTACAATCCCGTGAAGTACTGACGATGTGATGCTCTAGGATTAAATTGGCAGAAAATGTCTGGGATAAGGCACGATATATTCCTAATGTCTCTACGCGGGCCTAAGGTCTTATTGATTGATTGATAATGTCTGTATCTACTGACTGTGACAGCCGAAGCTTGATATTGGTACTAGAGCAAGGAGATGTACGATGCATTAATCAACATTCTCAATGGGCGGCACAAAGAATAGGCTTCCTGAATAACTCCCATATGAGGACTCAAACCCGAATATATTGTCCACATACCCTTGCCCATAATCTATACCATAATTAACCCTCACGCTTCTTTCACAGGTACGTTCTTTGAAAGATCTTGACCGTCTGTGATACACCGTATTTAAGGTGAAGAGATCCGGACACAGGCCAGGTGACGGTACGAGAGTTGTTGATATGTACATTGAAAAGTTTACCGAATCTGTCTTTGTCTTTCATGTCCCTCAAAACGGTAGCCACATCCCCCTGCACAGTCATGACATGTCTTCCCTCCCCACGGGAATCCCGTATGACAACAAGGATTGTGCCTTTAAGTTTCCCGTCCATCGAGAATTCATACTTGGAACTTGTTTCCTCTATTGCCAGTTCAGCTACAGTCACCAGGTTACGTCTTGAGGTGATCTTTGTGTCCACGGACCACTTCACCTTATTTTCAATAGTGTTCTCTTCTTCGTTATCCACATACAGTCGATGTCCAAAACTGGCCTCCGCTTTGGAAGGTTGGGGAAGATCTGGAGGAAGTGTTAGTTCGATACCAACGTTGATTTCCCTGGAGAAACCTTCGGAAAGCTTGGTGGTGGCTGTGGAAATCGTCTCCTTCTCAGTTCTGAAAGTCTGTTCTTGGTCTTCGTTTGTATTGTTTTGGTATTTGGAGTCATACAAGACATGGACATTAGGTGAACTCGCCTCAACTTTCTTGTACTTTGGCGTTAGGGAGGTGATCTTCACTCTATCCCATTTCAACTGGATATCAGCTTCTTGAAACTTCAGTTTTCTTGAGAGTATATTTCCTGTGGGTGTCTTCAGATATGTCGTCCAGCCCCAATCCTTAAACATCGTACCAATGTCAGGGATTCTCAAAGACATACCTGAAACTACATTCACTTGAAGATTGTAGGCATATTTTATCAATGAACAATGTTCGAACAATGTTGACATTGACAAGTCCTATCACTTTGTTGTTAGTTTGAAAGGTTTAAGTGTTAATTTATGATATCCATCAGTATATAAGGTCAACGCCAGAGAATAACCAGTGTATATTATATGCCAACACAGATCCCATTGTACGTAAAAGGCAAAATAACGAAAATTATATGAATGGATGACTGAAAATCAGTGATGACACAAGGTGGTCGCGAAAATGGTAAGCATGACCTGCTCTACCGGTAGCACCCGCCACTCACGCAATTTGCATAAAAGTGGTTGTTGTCTGACGCTGTTGTCACAACAGTACACATGCCATACGACGGCTGCCTGTGAACATTTGAGTCTTGGCCAGATAACCCACTGTCACTAAAACGCGTTTACTGATTTTGCTGAATCTAAAAATAACTTTGCATAACGTCTGCAGTAAAGAAAAACACTTTTAAAATAGGTTCGTTCAGATATGAAATATCACATTTCAGTGCTAAAACATTGGAGACAAACGATATAGTTTCATGTCAACAGCAAATTTCTCAAAACGAATTTCCCTTTAAGTCTCCGACTTGACCTACCAGAATTATTGCTTTCTTCAACGTAAGCCTTGTTCTGAGACGTCAATTATGAGACGTTGCTTCAATTCTGAATGTCCCCCATTTGTGTAGCTGGCAGATACGTAACACGTCCAAATGCAGCTCAGATATTTACATGTATAATCAGTCAGTCGTGGCAATCAAACTCCTGGAGCCATGCCATTCTACATTATGACGCGATTCTATCAATAGATCATGGATTTCCGAGAGAGATAAAGGGGTACGAGTTTTTGGTGATATGACGTGTGATTAAATATAGCATTTTGTGTCATGTTTCGATCTAGGTCACTTAAACCATGCGGTGATATCTAAGAATGTATTTTGTTCAGTGAGGGAGATAGAGTTTAGTAAACTTTGTAAAGTATTTCAGTTGTATCTGGGAGTGCTAGCTTGATGCAGGGGGAAAGCCCGAAGTGATGCAGAACTACCCCCTGGCACGTGGATTTCTTGCAATTTCATCACAACAAAGTGTCCGATATTAATACAGATAATAAAAATCAAACGTGACAATACGTTAAATTAACTGACGAGGTGGCCGAGTGGTTAAGGCGATGGACTGCTAATCCATTGGGGTCTCCCCGCGTGGGTTCGAATCCCATCCTCGTCGACAGTATCTTTTACAGAAAATGGCCTTTTCATCTTGTCAGCTCAAGCAATTCTGTGTAAAACGTAAAAACGACAATGTGTCGCGATTTAGAATGATTTAGTGTTAGTGCCGGGCGGATTGTCTTGAAACTAGGCTGGCGATAAATTGAACTTTGCGAAATCGTGTCACTACCCCCCTGGCACGTGGATTTCTTGCAATTTCATCACAACAAAGTGTCCCATATTAATACAGATAATAAAAATCAAACGTGTCAATACTTTAAATTAACTGACGAGGTGGCCGAGTGGTTAAGGTGATGGACTGCTAATCCATTGGGGTGTCCCCGCGTGGGTTCGAATCCCATCCTCGTCGAAAAGTTCATTTTGCAAATACATTTCATTTACCATTTTTCACGAGACACAGACGATTTTGTACATTGATGGTCATCAAACGGTATTGATGATGGCAGCCATTTTTCTTCTTTGCTAATTAGTCTCCTAGGATGAAAAGATACATCCTCCATGGCTGTACCTGTACATAGAGTCTGTGAGTGAAAGTGAGCCAGGTGCGTGATTAACGAGGTTCTTTCCTTCAAACCTGTCAAGGTGAAAACGTGTGACTGCCGTCTGGGCACGAGGGTATTGAACACTTACACCTTGGTCGATTGGCCGTACTCATAAAGACCAGACGTTGCATTTCGCAATATCAGCTGACGAGGTGGCCGAGTGGTTAAGGCGATGGACTGCTAATCCATTGGGGTCTCCCCGCGTGGGTTCGAATCCCATCCTCGTCGACAGTATCTTTTACAGAAAATGGCGTTTTCATCTTGTCAACTCAAGCAATTCTGTGTAAAACGTAAAAACGACAATGTGTCGCGATTTAGAATGATTTATTGTTAGTGCCGGGCGGATTGTCTTGAAACTAGGCTGGCGATAAATTGAACTTTGCGAAATCGTGTCACTACCCCCCTGGCACGTGGATTTCTTGCAATTTCATCACAACAAAGTGTCCCATATTAATACAGATAATAAAAATCAAACGTGTCAATACGTTAAATTAACTGACGAGGTGGCCGAGTGGTTAAGGCGATGGACTGCTAATCCATTGGGGTCCCCCAGCGTGGGTTCGAATCCCATCCTCGTCGGCAAGTTCATTTTGCAAATACATTTCATTTACCATTTTTCACGAGACACAGACGATTTTGTACATTGATGGTCACCACAACAAAGTGTCCATATTAATACAGATAATAAAAATCAAACGTGACAATACGTTAGATTAAGGTGAAAAGGTGAAAACGTGTGACTGCCCTCTGGGCACGAGGGTATCGAACACTCACACCTTGGTCGATTGTACGTATTCAGAAAGACCAGACGTTGCATTTCGCAATATCCATTGGGGTCTACCCGCGTGTGTTCGAATCTCAACAGGATCTTTTGACAGGAAAATACTTTTTTCATTTGTTTCAGATGAAGAAAAGCGTTGTGGAGAGTTGATATGTGATTACATTTGGTTGAACGTCGCGTTGAAGATTCTTTCTCCTATATAAATGAGTGTGCGTGCTTGCGTGCGTGCGTGCGTGGCTTCTTGTACTGGTCCGGAATAATGCCAGTTTTATAGTTGTAGCCCACTGAGATACCGTGCCTCAGTTGAACATTGATAAATCACTCAGACACCTTGCAGTGATTCCGCGCCGAGCAGTCGTTTTATCCCCCGATGCCCATAAAAAGGTCAACAACAACAAGTACCATCATTAAAGGTCTCTTGGTACGACGAGGCAAGGGCATAGAACCACTGACCTTCCGCTCTCCGAACAGACACGCTATCCACTAGACCTAGTGATGGTTGTTGATCAGTTTGTAGTGTCTATCACATTCGAGCGATGAAGCCATTGGTGACTCAATCGTATAAGATGCCAGGTTGTGCCCCTTAGACTTGCCAGGATACATTGATCGTTGGTTCCAATCACAAATCATTATGATCCTGCAGCATCTAAATTATGGTGGGGAATTGGTCCAGGGTATTTGTCAAAAGTGAATCTAAAACACTGGGTTATGGAGTATGAGAAGATCACAGTTTACAAGCAATACAAGTGTAGTTAAATCTCTACACATGAACCAGTTGCAATAAACAAATATGTACGTGTACCCGATATTTTATTGCTCATCTACTTACATTTAAATGACATTGATGACAATAAATAAAAAAAGCCGATTTGATAATTACTTCAGCGTTACAAAAGCATATGCGACATGTATTAATAACCTAATTTATGAATAATAAGACATGTAAACAACATGCGAACGTTCGGAAGGCGCTTCCAGGGAAATTAGTCATACATCACTACAAAAATCGTTTTCTTATTTTTGCTTATTGTACATCTTTCCGACGAAAAAATACAACCACATGAAACATAAACATGTTATTGGACAGTATAAGCGTTCTATTCTAATTGTTCAAATTTTATATTGAAAATATATATTATTACAGGTAATTACGGTCACCTGTCATTGACATTGAAGGCAAGTAACATAACTAGCACATATCATTATGTAAAATGTTGATTTTGTTTGGTTATAAGTTTGTCTAAAGCTACTATAGCCCATTACTAGCTACAGTCAATGATGTGACAGTATCACTCTATAAACTTCATAGTATTACACACTTGTGTGACGGTTTCAATCTATTCAGTTTCTGAAAATCATTTCTCTTTTTTATCTATTTGTTTTCCAGGCGAGACTTTCACTTTCTGGGACACGCCAAACCGGAAGTCACATTTCCCCATCACAGGCCACGTGACCTTGCCATGTTTTATTTCAACATTTGTGGGCAAAGATGTTGCAGCTCGTTCTCGTCGATCTGCAAGTATAGTTGCGACATCCCCATCAATCGTCATGGCAACAGATGTTATACCCTTGGTACCCTTGATAATTGCAGTTATCCGTCCTTTGATCATGACCTTGACCTCGAATGTCCAGTTCGAGGTTTGTTCCTCAATCTCAAGCTCTGCCAGAGTGACCGAGTTCGGTTCTGACGTCACCGTTGTGTCTGTGGACCACGTCATGGACTTTTCGATGGTATTCTCCTCGGCAGTTTCCACGGTGTAGTTGAGACCAAAACCAATCGTTGCCTTGGCGACGTCAGCAGGCAGAGACAACTCTAGACCGAAGCTGCCTTCCTTTGCGAACCCTTTAGTTACGGCTGTTGTTATAGTAGCACTTGTAGTCTTCTCGGCTCTGTAACAATTGAGAGAGTGAGTGATTGGGTAGGTGGGCCTTGAGTATAGCGGCGCTTTTGGCAGTACTTCAGTTAGTCAGCTAAATGTTGGACGACCTGAGCTGATGCAGATCTTAAACCTTTACAACTTTAGAGAAACCCAGGACCAGGCTGTAGGTTAACTGTCACATTACCATCTCATCCTACCGGGTAGCCATTTTCAGTGCTGGATGTACAGAGGCATATTTCAAACAAAGTCATTTGCCTAAGGAGACACCACATGTGCTACATCTGCTTCAGTATGGGAAAGGACCGAACCAAAAAAAACTCAGTCACGCTAGCGAACGCGGTCACCCATCCACCTAAATTCCGTTGCTTTACTTAACCTGACTTGTGACCTGTGGGATGTGCATTGGCCCATGTACGGCCACATTAAGGTCAATGCTGAATACACAGACTAGCCATTACACCTGACCATCTTGTGACCACTCTCACCTGAAGGCATGCGTCTGTGACACTCCTGTGTCGTTCTGGTACCTTGATGTGAAGACTGCCTGGGTCTCGGTGTTGGGAACGCCCTGGCTGGCCCCGGGGGTGGGGGTGTCAATCTGTGTATACACCGGCTTCTCCGACTTGAACTTGACATGATCCCAGACAAGCTGTATCTGAGCTTCTCGAAATTTGAGTTTCTTCCCTGTTGCACTTCTCATGTAGTTTTCCCAAGCCCAGGACTTGAACAGCGTCTCCAGATCCGTCACCGCTCCGCTGTCCTTTCCTTGGACCTAAAAGAAGATGTGTGATTACTGTTTTACGCCGCTTTGAGCAATATATCAGCACTATCGCGGTTGGGAACGCCAGGCATTGCTTTGTGTACGCATGTGAAGAATCAAACAGCGACTTTCGGTGTGACGAGCAAACGCTTAAACCACTAGGCTGCTGCACTGCCCCGGGTGAAGATTAAATGGCATGAAGTTGGTCTTCTATTCCATTTTAAGGCCTACCAATGAAAAAAAACGAAAATGTTATGTTAGTTGGTTTACGAATGGTATTTCTTAAAAACGCTGGAAGGCGGTCGAAATAAAACTACAAAACAAATAAGTTAAGGCCCTTGAATGAATTGCGTGTTTTGAAGTGAATGAAAAAATACCCCCTCTAGAACAAAAATCACATTCCCCACCCCACTCCCTTCCAATATATATTGGTCGACATTAAGAACGAAATGAAATGAGTCCACTAGACATATACTGAACCATATTTATAGCTACTGTTTTACTCAATTATGATATTGTCGAAACTATATTACACTTCAAGTCGTGACAACCTGCCGGTATGCATTCTTTACAAGCTGGATACACCTTATTGAAAACGGAAGCGGGGTGGGTTCACTTAAAATATATAAGCTTGCACATAATTCGGGAAACAATTTGCCTTTGTCAGGAAGAAATGAGTCAATTACTTGTTATTTTTGTTGAAAGCATGTCAGGAAATGATCTGGTTATATTCTTTATACGTCACATGTTTGTTTGTTTGTTGTTTACCACCGCACTATTCCTGCTGTATGTCGGCGGTTTGAAAATAATCGAGTCTGGACCACACAATCCAGTGATTGACATTATGAGCATCGATATACGGCAATTGGGATACGATCACATGCACCAACCAAGTTAAGGAGCCTGACCACCCGGTCCCGTTAGTCGCCTCTTACGACAAGCATTGTCGCCTCTTATGACAAGCATGGGTTGCTGAAGACAAAATGATCAGTGTGCTTCAAAAAGGGGGTGGGTGGTGCGCAACCCTGAACCCCCTCCGTAGATCCGTGTCTTTGGTATACACGACTATCGTCAAACATCAGTCAGACCACGGTAAACTCACCCCTGACGACATAGGGATATGCAGGTAATTTTGTTCCACACCGGCTGTACTACAGCATGTTCCCATCCTGAAAGTAAACACAACTGCATAAAAATCTCGGGACACATTTTTCTCAAAAGTAAGGATGGGGGTAGTACTGTGCTTTCGAAATGATGAGAGACGACCACCTTCTATTTATCCCCCCCCCCCCCCCCCACCCCCCCACCCCCCTCCCTCCAAAAAAAAATAAAAAAATAAAAAAATAAAATAAAAATAATAATAATAATAAATAAATAAAAAAACTAAAAACTTAAATTAATAATAATAATAATAATAATAATAATAATAATAATAATAATAATAATAACTAAAATTTAAAAATATAAAATAATTTTAAAAAATAAAAAATAAAATATAATAAATAAAACACAACTGGGAACACATAGAACTCGTCTCTTATATTATGTCAGTTGTCAAACATGTCATTTTATGGAGTATGCCTAATATGACGCGAAACAAAATGATAAAAATAAAAAAAGATTTTTATTGGCAATGACAATCACTGATCATCATGACGCGCACACTTTGTCCTACAATTTTTCTTTTTAAGTATCTGGGCATAATCTTAAACTCACTCAATTAAAACACTTTACATCACAACCATAACGTGAAAATAACACATTATTCACAACCGTAATCACACTGATAGAATGCTGATAAGTAAGGTTTACTTTTCATATTATATTCCGATACTTTCGCTATTGGACGAAGGGAAAGTAGGGATATTATATTCCGATACTTTCACATCTGGGCGAAGCGAATGTAGAGAATAGGGACAGCAGGGATATCAATGCCGTAAACATGTAACCCACAAGCTACATGTATAATAATGGTCAAGTCGTCAGCTGTTGTCGGGGCGCTATTTAGGGAGTAACATGGAGGGTGGGGCTTGCCTTTGTCAACATGGCGTGCTGCTTGTAAAGGTTTTCCACCGCAAGGCGTTATTGATAAAGCAAACTGTGTATCTACAAGGTTATACAGAGGTTGACGAATATAATCGGTAATTATATAAAATAGATTATACATCCCCGTGTTATGAGTTTTCGGACGCTAACGAAATATTCGTAGTTTTCTCGCTAATCACAAGAACAACTGTAAAACTTCTCACTCACTTATAAAAGACAACTTTATCTAAAAAGCAAGCCAAAATCTGAGTATTTACAACGTATGTGTGACGCCACAACCCTCGTTATAGCGAGAGTACTCGCGATAAACATGGCCGTCACAAAATTTATGATTCGACGACACAATAAATTTATTTTTTATTCAATGAAATTACTTAAACGTTTTTGTGTCACTCACGGAGTCTCTACGCCCCCAAAACACCCCAAACCCCATTCAAAAAAAACAACAAACAGTGTAAATGGCGTTATGTGCTTCTGAAAATCCACAAGTTGGCTAAACAGAACGGAATCATAATTACTTTTGTGTTGAGTACATACGAATATCAGTTATGATATGATGACGTAGATTATTTTACCTTGAAAGCCTACCTTTCTGGTGAAACCGCCTTCGTTGAACTTATCTTATGCTGTAATAATTTGTATCGCTGTCAGTATCAGGAATAGCTGGAGACGTGTGTCTATGTAGAGTAAACATAACATGGGGAAGACCCGGGGACTAAAATTAGATATGTGACATGCGCAGTCGGGTTTTCGATAGGTCGCTGCACTCAACTGCCTTTCGGTGAGCTCAGGCACAGCGAGTCTGGACCAAACAATCCAGTGATTGACATCATGAACATCGATCAACGCAACTGGGATATGAGTGAGTGAGGTTTTACGCCGCTTTTATTAATATTCCAGCAATATAACCACTAGGCTACCCCCGCCCCGCAATTTGGATATGATGACATGCATCAACCAAGTCAGTGAGTCTGACCACCCGATCCCGACTCTTACGACAAGTATAGTCGCCTTTTACGGCAAGCATGGGTTGCTGAAGACCTATTCTACCCCGGATCTTCATGGGTCTCAGCAGATTTGATAGGATATGAATATTGTTTATTACTGTGTTACACAACACGCTGTAATATTGTTACATGTAAATATTAACATTTTCAACTGTGAATTGTCTGACCAAAATGGCCTATATTTACTTCATATATTAGGGGGCACGGGCGACCTAGTCGTCTAAGGCGTCGCGATTCGCTGTGCAGAGTTGCGTCCCTTGAGCCAGCCAGAAACCTATGATTGTGGGTTCGAATCCCGGTTCGCTTCGATTATGTTTCTATGTTTGTCAGCACCATACCCCTGCTCGTGAGTTTCACCGAAGTGGTAAACGTCTGAGACCTGCATTACTTCGGTCTTTCCTCCAACATTAAGCTGACACGCCGTGATATAACTGGAATACTGTTGAAAGCGGCGTTAAACCCAACTCACTCACTCACTCACTCTAAAGGAGTAGAGTGAGTGAGTGAGTTGGGTTTAAAGCCGCTTTTAACAGTATTCCAGTTTTATCGCGGCGTGTCAGCTTATATAAATGAGTAGAAAGCACAAAGAAGCGTTACACAATCAATGAAGAAATAGTATTGATGTAAACTTAATAATATTATGTGAAAAATATTTTACCTGGTACGTTTCTCTGTAAATAGTAAATGATCACTGATGCAATACAGATTATGCTTATCGTCGCTTTGTGAAGAATTGATCATGTTCTATTTAGAGAACGTCGCGATACAGAGCCCGTTGTTTGATATCACATTCGGAAAACCAAAAATAAATAGACATGATCAAGACCTCGTGTCACGTGCAGCTATTCTTTGAATAGAAACGCGCTTCTTACTGAAGCGCTCCATGTTTAAAAGAGAGAGGAATGGAGGTGCATTTTCGAATTGCTGACTTCAATGAAGGTGGGGATGGTTCACTATTTTGAACTCCTGCATTTGCAAGTGATTAACTATTGATTTTTCCTCCAGACTATTCTGCCATTGGCTACATGAACAAATGCTGCATTTAGCCGGGAAAACCGAAAATTACGTATGAGCTAAAAAAAGATACCATGGGAATTTCAAAAGGTGATTCCCCTCTCCCTGTTTCCAAAACAACAGTATAAAAGACGGAGAGCAGCAAATCCCGGCTCACTTTGAGGTTGAGAGAGGAGCGGTACGACAGTCTGGATACATCACCAACATGAATCCCAAAATCGTTGTTCTATTGGAAGTGTTCAGAGTATGGGCTTGGACTAATTACTTGAACACCAGTACAGGCTTTTTCGCAAGGCTGTTTAGACCCAAACTGAAACATAAATACGCAGACATTGAGATAAAGTGGGAAAACGTGAAGACGACGGTCCTGGAAACTGAATATAAGATGCAGTCGGATAAACAGTCTGGCACCAAAGTGGTCATTGAATCGGAGTACGACAATGCGACTGACAATGACCAGACGCACAGTTTCAAAACGGAACAGGACACAATATCCACTGCTAGCATCAAGCTGACCAAAGGCTACAGCAAGCACGCGAATACTGGGATTGAAATGGACCTCCCGGAAGAAATGTCACGAATGAATGCTTGAGAGGAATCCCCGACTGCGAGAAAGAAACAGATGGCGACTGCTAGTTTCGGAAACAGCATTCACGTGGGAACTGACGAAAACAGCGTTGTCAGTAGGAAGAAGGCTTGGTCTGTGGACACAACGATATCCTCCAAGAGTGGGAAACTGACGATAGCCCAGCTGGAGGTGGAGGAGACAAGCGCAACTTATGAATTCGCCAGTGCCATCAAATTGAAGGGAAGGGTGGTTGCTGTCATTCGGGACAGGAGGAACATGGAGAAAGTTGTGCAGGTGGTTGAAAACGATGTGGCAACAGTTCTTAATGACGTTAATGACAGAAATGGAGGTAGGATGGGGGATTTTAGGTTTGACATGGACAACCGCACTGTTCAACTGCCACTACAGGGCACCGTCACATTCAGATATGGCGTGTCCCAGAGGGTGAAGGTTTCCTATGGACAAAGGACTGATGAAGCAAGAAACCAAATCACCCCAAGACCCAATATGTACCCATCGATTCACTTGGAGGATGTGTGATTGCTTTTATTGGCCTAGATGTAATATCTACATCAATAATGACATAAATATGAGACATTGTTACAAGCATGTCCCTAGCATTCGTGATATTTACCTAACAGTTTATATAAATTCTGAGTGGAAACCATTTCACTGTTATTCTGTTAGTATTCCTGATTCTATTCGGAGAGTCCTTATATGGATGGGTGAACGCGTTTCGGCAGTTTGGCTCCTAAGAGTTTCTAGGGCTTCGGCCCGTCCCCAAACTAAAGCACATGTACCACTTGTGGTGTCTTCTTGGACAAGTGACTTTGTTCGAAATGTGCCTCTGTTCACCCAGCAGTGAATGGGTACCCGGTAGGATGAGATGGCAAATGTAGTTTGTTAACCTAGCGCCTTTCAGGTAACGTGGGTTGTATACTCCCCAAGGAGCTGAGTATGATTGTAGCGTACACACTGACAAAGTGACCGGGGTAAAAAAAACCCCTTGAGCATGCCCCTGTGCGGTGGGGAAATATGCGCAATATAAAATGACCTGTTATGGTATGTTTTGTATTTATTGTTTTATATCTGACCCCGTTCTTACATGTCACTTTAAATATTATGACTGTCGTTTGAGCGTTTATATCTTCTTCGCCTTATGCATGCATCGTTATTGTAAATACACGAATAGTGTCGTCATATGTTTTTGTATTGGAGAGAAGATAATCCTGTGTCATAGTTACTATGTGAACTATGTGGAAGTATCATTATTGCTATTGTGGTGGTGTCCATTTAAAAAATAAAATAAATTGTTTTCATCCGACCCTATTGATATATGTACATCGCTTTTAACAATATTGCTTGTGATAGTTTATGTCTGCTTCACCTTATGCATTTACCGTTATTGTAAATGCACGAACAGTGTCGTTATTATTTGAAATAAATTTAAACATTTTCTATTTCATATCTTCATGTCTTTTGTGTAGATTAAGCATATATATATATATATATATATATATTTGACCGGCTCCGTGGTGTAGTGGATAGAACGTCTGCCCGGGGAGTGAAAAGTCTGTGGTTCGTTCCCGTCCCTTACAAAAAAGACGTTCAAAGATGGTACTTGTTGTTACCCTGCCTGGCGCTCGGCACAAAGGGGCTAAAAGAAGCACTGGTCGGCTTCTAGACAGTATACTGTGCCTGAATGTTATACTGCGGCATGGTATCTCAGTTGGTTGGCACTGTAAAGTCGGCAATAGTCCGGACTAGTACAAACAGCCACACACACGTGTAGCACCTTGCTATAAAAATGCTAAAATACTGAACGCGAAACCCCATTTCACCTCGACTGACCTTAAAACGTTTTTGATAGTATTGTTGAGAGGAACGAGTGGCCCTTAGGCGTAGCAGAAACAACTTTGAATCTAAACGATTTTCTAGTATGGCAACGTGACCTTAAGGTCATCTAGAGCAATACAGGAAAACATCCTTGAAAGTTCATGTGAAATCTCCACAGCCTGCTTACCTAACTCGAGATCCTCTCAGTCCAGAAAGCACCATCTTCACGAGGCAAGAGAGTTAACTGACTATAAAAGTCCAGTTTCCACCCTTGCCGAAATAAGCTGGTATTATGGAGTTACATTTTGGCTGGACTAACGAGTCTATGCATAATCCAATCAAAACCGCGCAACAAAATTGAAATCCGATTCGTAATCTGTCTTGCAGATTTCGGTCGCTTGCAGGATTTGGAAAGAATGTGCACCGTGATTTGATGCACTTCGCGATGTAAGACCGTTTTATCGCAATATAGATGTTGATTATCGATCAGATCGTCTTGACTGGGTGGCGCCATAAATGCTAGTGATACGAGAAGTGGAATCTGGTCCATAGGAGAGGCTTAGAAGGGACATAACTCGTAATAACCGCTGGTGGCGCTACGATCGAGCCCAGGAATTCCAGCCTAATTCGGCAAGGGTGGAAACTGGACTTTTAAAGTCAGTTAACTCTCTTGCCTCGGGAAGATGTATAGCACTTACTCACATGACATCATCAGAAGAGAGTGAGTGAATTCAACTCCTTTTTAAAGAATATTTCATTTAGACCATGGCATGTCATGAGGCCGTAAAGCCGTTTGTCACTTTCGTGAAACCCAAGAGTATGTGTATGGTGATGTCAAACCAGAAAGTATTTGCGAACGTTGGATTCGAACCCTCGATAATGGGTTGTTTGCATACCGAAGGGACGCAAGTATGCACAGCGAATTGCGGCGCCTTAGACGACTGGCCCACCCATGCCCCCCATCACAACATAGAATATTCCATATGTTTCTATAACTCTCTATCACAATCGACAGTATTCCGGATGTTTACACATGACACCAGCATCTAAATATAGTAACTTCCTGACAACTGCTTACATTATGCAGTACTACATTCCTGCCAACTAATCACTGTCCAAACACAATGCAATGAGCGTCTACCGAATCTCAACAGAAGCAATGTAACACAGTTACAATCATTGTTCAACAATAAAATACACTGCCATAAACAGGTGATACCCAAGACAACGGGAATGGTGCTGACAAACCTAGAAACATGATCGGGGAGACCGGTTTGGATCAGTAGAATGACTAGTATGAACTTGGCTGCATTTGTATTGCTGTTTTCACCATAGTTGCAAGTATAAATAAATGACAAAAAACATAATTATCACCATCGTTTCAATCCGGAGCAGTAAGCATGTTCATATAAGATAACCAAACGCTGAGATGTCTGACATTTCAAACACTAATTGGGGCGGTCGGGTAGCCTAGTGGTTAAATCGTTCGCTCGTCACGCTGAAGACCCGGGTTCGATTCCCGACATGGGTACAATGTGTGAAGCCCATTTCTGGTGTCCCCCGCCGTGATATTGCTGGAATATTGCTCAAAGCGGCGTAAAACCATATTCACTCACTCACTCAAACATTTATTAAATGGCTTCAATGTATTCATAAAAAATCTAAAACTGATAAAAATGGATCATAAAACTGTGCATGAAGTTAAACATGTTATGAGATATATCGTGACTGTCTATTAAATGATATGCAGCCATCTGAAAATCCGGTCACTGATCGTAAGATTTCATGCAGGTCGTTAAAGACGTCCCAGGGGGCTGAATACCCACAATGCGTTGTTGTCTTTATTATCTTAATAGAATGTTGAGAGGGTCGGCCCATTTCCTAAACATATTCTACTTGTAATCAGTTGTGTGTACAGATATTGTGCTGTTTCCAGACGAAATGCTTGCGGTAACAACAGTTAGTGACCTCCACAGTGTTCCGTGAGTAAACTCGACACCACTCAGAACGTGATCAAGTTTCATGTCTCTGGTTGGTCTAGAACAGTCTAGCAAACCGAGTGAGTATGGTTTTACGCCGCTTTTAGCAATATTCCAGCAATATCAAGGCGGGGACACCAGAAATGGGCTTCACACATTGTACCCATGTAGAGAATCGAACCCGGGTCTTCGGCCTGGCGAGCGAACGCTTTAACCACAAGGCTACCCCACCGCCCCTCTAGCCTACAGAAGAAGAAAAAGACGATGATGATGCTGAAGAAGTTTATTCCGTATCAAAGGCAACATGAAAAAGACTACAATGCATACATAAAAGCGACAAAACCTTTTTCCTATTCAATAGAAATCTCTGCTAAAACAGAGTCGATTGACCAATCTCAGTTATATCATATTTGTTAGGAATCACTATCAAATAGTGATGATACCAGGTGTTCGCGTAAAGATAAGCGTATAAAACGAAGCTTTGGCAAAGGGACAGATGGGGCACTTCTTATGCAAAATCAATAGAATATTTATGTTACATTATGCAGGCAGGTTTCCTTTTAAATATATGGCAATAATTTGTATCTGCTTCACATTATTAGACTTATAGTTGATTGATTTTCGTTCATGATGGATACATTTAATAATAACTAGGGATGAAAGCCAAAGTTCTGTTTTCCGTGTATAATGTACAAATTGAAAGGGAATGGTATCTTCAGTTGTATTATGGTGTACATTTATTGCACTTAAATAAATCAGTATTGACTTCTTCATTATAACGAGGGGCGGGCGGGTAGCCTAGTGGTTAAAGCGTTCGCTCGTCACGCCGAAGACCCGGGTTCGATTCCCGACATAGGTACAATGTGTGAAGCCCTTTTTCTACCCCGCTTCGATATTGCTGCAATATTGCTAAATGTGGCGTAAAACCATACACACTCACCCACTCACTCATTATAACGAAACTGTTGAACAGCAACCACTATAAGCATAGGCACTAATTCATTAATAATATAATCACGAATATAATCAATGTAAATTCGAGCACCATTTTCATTTGCTTTATGAAAGCACGCTGACAATCTACACCGAAACACTGTTCACAATCAATGGAACGTTTCCGAATGTTTCAGAACACAAAGCTCTGTTCTGTATTGGAAGATGGGTCATTTTACATTCATGGGTGACTGTTTGTGTGATGGTGATGTGTTCCCTCTCGCTGGAACTAAATCGTGGTCTGATATGCTGGATAAATATACAAAACTTCAAAACAGGTGATGTGTACAATCCCGTGAAGTACTGACGATGTGATGCTCTAGGATTGAATTGGCAGAAAATGTCTGGGATAAGGCACGATATATTCATAATGTCTGTATGCCGGCCCAAGGTCTTATTGATTGATTGATAATGTCTGTATCTACTGACTGTGACAGCCGAAGCTTGATATTGGTACTAGAGCATGGAGATGTACGATGCATTAATCAGCATTCTCAATGAGCGGCACAAAGAATAGGCTTCCTGAATAACTCCAACATGAGGACTCAAACCCGAATATATTGTCCACATACCCTTGCCCATAATCTATACAATAATTAACCCTCACGCTTCTTTCACAGGTACGTTCTTTGAAAGATCTTGACCGTCTGTGACACACCGTATTTAAGGTGAAGAGATCCGGACACAGGCCAGGTGACGGTACGAGAGTTGTTGATTTGTACAGTGAACAGTTTACCGAATCTGACTTCTTACTGAAGCGCTCCATGTTTAAAAGAGAGAGGAATGGAGGTGCATTTTCGAATTGCTGACATCAATGAAGGTGGGGATAAGTGGGGTCGGGTCGGGTCGGGTCGGGTCGGGTCGGGTCGGGTCGGGAAAAAACACTATTTTGACTTACTGCATTTGCAAGTGATTAACTATTGATTTTTCGTCCAGACTATTCTGCCATTGGCTACATGAACCAATGCTGCATTTAGCCGGGGAAACTGAAATTACGTATGAGCTAAAAAAAGATACCACGGGAATTTCAAAAGGTGATTCCCCTCTCCCCATCTAAATCAATAAAAGACGGAGAGCAGCAAATCCCGGCTCACTTTGAGGTTGAGAGAGGAGCGGTACGACAGTCTGGATACATCACCATCATGAATCCCAAAATCGTTGATCTATTAGAACTTTTCAGAGTATGGGCTTGGACTAATTACTTGAACACCAGTACAGGCTTTTTCGCAAGGCTGTTTAGACCCAAACTGAAACATAAATACGCAGACATTGAGATAAAGTGGGAAAACGTGAAGACGACGGTCCTGGAAACTGAATATAAGATGCAGCCGGATAAACAGTCTGGCACCAAAGTGGTCATTGAATCGGAGTACGACAATGCGACTGACAATGACCAGACGCACAGTTTCAAAACGGAACAGGACACAATATCCACAGCTAGCATCAAGCTGACCAAAGGCTACAGCAAGCACGCGAATACTGGGATTGAAATGGACCTCCCGGAAGAAATGTCACGAATGAATGCTGGAGAGGAATCCCCGACTGCGAGAAAGAAACAGATGGCGACTGCTAGTTTCGGAAACAGCATTCACGTTGGAACTGACGAAAACAGCGTTGTCAGCAGGAAGAAGGCTTGGTCTGTGGACACAACGATATCCTCCAAGAGTGGGAAACTGACGATAGCCCAGCTGGAGGTGGAGGAGACAAGCGCAATTTATGAATTCGCCAGTGCCATCAAATTGAAGGGAAGGGTGGTTGCTGTCATTCGGGACAGGAGGAACATGGAGAAAGTTGTGCAGGTGGTTGAAAACGATGTGGCAACAGTTCTTAATGACGTTAATGACAGAAATGGAGGTAGGATGGGGGATTTTAGGTTTGACATGGACAACCGCACTGTTCAACTGCCACTAGAGGGCACCGTCACATTCAGATATGGCGTGTCCCAGAGGGTGAAGGTTTCCTATGGACAAAGGACTGATGAAGCAAGAAACCAAATCACCCCAAGATCCAATATATACCCAGGGATTCACTTGGAGGATGTGTGATTGCTGTTATTGGTCCAGAGGTAATATCTACATCAATAATGACATAAATATGAGACATTGTTACCAGCATGTTCCTAGCATTCGTGATATTTACCTTACAGTTAATATAAATTCTGAGTGGAAACCATTTTGCTGTTATTCTGTTTGTATTCCTGATTCATACCAGCGACTGTTTTAGATACTAGTATTAGAGTGTCTGGGTATCATATTAATTAATGTGTACACCTGAATCACATCCGTACTTCACAACCAATCCCACGTGAGTTTATATTTCGTATTATCAGTATTATCTAGTTTGTTTGTTGTTTAACGCCGCACTCAGCTATATTCAAGCTATATGACGGCGGTCTTTGTTTTCTAAAATGAATTTACATGTTTTAAATTTCTTATCATTCAGCTGAGATGTTGTCATAGATTCATTTTATTGTTATTAACACGTTTGAGGGAGTTAGAACGTAGTGCTTTTGCTGTTATTGGTCTGGTGGTATCAGGAGATGTTCATTACATTGCTGATGTACTGTACATACGCCGGCAGTGAAGGATGACAACGGTCTTATTAGGAACCGAACATTTCACTCTGGGGGTACCTGGGATTTTTGTTGTTGTAAAAAGTACTTCTTCCAGAAAAAAAACGAATGTTTTTTTCGGCCTCAGGTTATACAAGAAAAAATATGTTGTGCTCCTCGTTTTGGGGATAAAAAATATATGTCTTGAAGCACTGACGGAAAGAACATATTCTGTCTCGGATAAAAGTCCCAGGTCACCCATCCACTATCCCTGACAATTTTACACAGTCGGTCTTGCCAGAAGTTTCCAAACTAACACTGAATGTGAATGGGCCAGTACCTCGTATATATGGGAAGATTATCAGGCACGTGTTCCTGTGCACAGCGCACAGGTCACAAATCAGGTCGCGGAGAGTCCTTTTATAGGTGAACGCGTTTCGGCAGTTTGGCTCCTGAGAGTTTCTAGGGCTTCGGGCCTTTCCCACGCTGTAGCACATGTAACACATGTGGTGTCTCCTTTGCCCAAGTGACTTGTGCCTCTGTTCACCCAGCAGTGAATGGGTACCCGGTAGGACGAGATGGCAAATGTAGTTTGTTAACCTAGCGCCTAACAGGGAACATGGGTTGTATACTCCCCAGGGAGCTGAGTATGATTGTTGCGTACACACTGACCAAGTGACCGGGGTAAAAACAAACCTTGAACATGTCCCTGTGCGGTGGGGAAATATGCGCAATATAAAATGACCTGTTATGGTAATTTTTGTATTCGGGAGAAGATGCTCCTTTGATGCAGAGTACAATTGTCATATTCATTATGTGAACATGTCAGCACCATTAAAACAATTTATTGTTTTTATATCTGACCCCGTTCATACATGTCACTTTTAATATTATGACTGTCGTTTGAGCGTTTATATCTTCTTCGCCTTATGCATGCATCGTTATTGTAAATACACGAATAGTGTCGTTATATGTTTTTGTATTGGAGAGAAGATAATCCTGTGTCATAGTTACTATGTGAACTATGTGGAAGTATCATTAATGCGATTGTGGTGGTGTCCATTTAAAAAAGAAAATAAATTGTTTTCATCCGACCCTATTGATATATATACATCGCTTTTAACAATATTGCTTGTGATAGTTTATGTCTGCTTCACCTTATGCATTTACCGTTATTGTAAATGCACGAACAGTGTCGTTATCATTTGAAATAAATTTAAACATTTTCTATTTCATATCTTCATGTCTTTTGTGTAGATTAAAGCGTATATTTATATATATATATATATATATGACCGGCTCCGTGGTGTAGTGGATAGAACGTCTGCCCGGGGAGTGAAAAGTCTGTGGTTCGTTCCCGTCCCTCACAAAAAAAGACGTTCAAAGATGGTACTTGTTGTTACCCTGCCTGGCGCTCGGCACAAAGGGGCTAAAAGAAGCACTGGTCGGCTTCTAGACAGTATACTGTGCCTGAATGTTATACTGCGGCATGGTATCTCAGTTGGTTGGCACTGTAAAGTCGGCAATAGTCCGGACTAGTACAAACAGCCACACACACGTGTAGCACCTTGCTATAAAAATGCTAAAATACTGAACGCGAAACCCCATTTCACCTCGACTGACCTTAAAACGTTTTTGATAGTATTGTTGAGAGGAACGAGTGGCCCTTAGGCGTAGCAGAAACAATTTTGATTCTAAACGATTTTCTAGTATGGCAACGTGACATTAAGGTCATCTAGAGCAATACAGGAAAACATCCTTGAAAGTTCATGTGAAATCTCCACAGCCTGCTTACTCGAGATCCTCCTCAGTCCAGAAAGCACCATCTTCACGAGGCAAGAGAGTTAACTGACTATAAAAGTCCAGTTTCCACCCTTGCCGAAATAAGCTGGTATTATGGAGTTACATTTTGGCTGGACTAACGAGTCTATGCATAATCCAATCAAAACCGCGCAACAAAATTGAAATCCGATTCGTAATCTGTCTTGCAGATTTCGGTCGCTTGCAGGATTTGGAAAGAATGTGCACCGTGATTTGATGCACTTCGCGATGTAAGACCGTTTTATCGCAATATAGATGTTGATTATCGATCAGATCGTCTTGACTGGGTGGCGCCATAAATGCTAGTAATACGAGAAGTGGAATCTGGTCCATAGGAGAGGCTTAGAAGGGACATAACTCGTAATAACCGCTGGTGGCGCTACGATCGAGCCCAGGAATTCCAGCCTAGTTCGGCAAGGGTGGAAACTGGACTTTTAAAGTCAGTTAACTCTCTTGCCTCGGGAAGATGTATAGCACTTACTCACATGACATCATCAGAAGAGTGTGAGTGAATTGAGTTCAACTCCTTTTTAAAGAATATTTCATTTAGACCATGGCATGTCATGAGGCCGTAAAGCCGTTTGTCACTTTCGTGAAACCCAAGAGTATGTGTATGGTGATGTCAAACCAGAAAGTATTTGCGAACGTTGGATTCGAACCCTCGATAATAGGTTGTTTGCATACCGAAGGGACGCAAGTATGCACAGCGAATTGCGGCGCCTTAGACGACTGGCCCACCCATGCCCCCCATCATAACATAGAATATTCCATATGTTTCTATAACTCTCTATCACAATCGACAGTATTCCGGATGTTTACACATGACACCAGCATCTAAATATAGTAACTTCCCGACAACTGCTTACATTATGCAGTACTACATTCCTGCCAACTAATCACTGTCCAAACACAATGCAATGAGCGTCTACTGAATCTCAACAGAAACAATGTAACACTGTTACAATCATTGTTCAACAATAAAATACACTGCCATAAACAGGTGATACCCAAGACAACGGGAATGGTGTTGACAAACCTAGAAACATGATCGGTAAGACCGGTTTGGATCAGTAGAATGACTAGTATGAACTTGGCTGCGTTTGTATTGCTGTTTTCACCATAGTTGCAAGAATAAATAAATGACAAAAAGCATCATTATCACCATCGTTTCAATCCGAAGCAGTAAGCATGTTCATATAAGATAACCAAACGCTGAGATGTCTGACATTTCAAACACTAATTGGGGCGGTCGGGTAGCCTAGTGGTTAAAGCGTTCGCTCGTCACGCTGAAGACCCGGGTTCGATTCCCGACATGGGTACAATGTGTGAAGCCCATTTCTGGTGTCCCCCGCCGTGATATTGCTGGAATATTGCTCAAAGCGGCGTAAAACCATATTCACTGACTCAAACACTTATTAAATGGCTTCAATGTATTAACAAAAAATCATTAAAAAGGCTTAAAAACTGATAAAAATGGATCATAAAACTGTGCATGAAGTTATACATATTATGAAAAATATCGTGACTATCTATTAAATGATATGCAGCCATCTGAAAATCCGGGGCTGAATACCCACAATGCGTTGTTGTCTTTATTATCTTAATAGAATGTTGAGAGGGTCGGCCCATTTCCTAAACATATTCTACTTGTAATCAGTTGTGTGTACAGATAGTGTGCGGTTTCCAGACGAAATGCTTGCGGTAACAACAGTTAGTGACCTCCACAGTGTTCTGTGAGTAAACTCGACACCCCTCAGAACGTGATCAAGTTTCCTGTCTCTGGTTAGTCTAGAACAGTCTAGCAAACAGAGTGAGTATGGTTTTACGCCGCTTTTAGCAATATTCCAGCAATATCAAGGCGGGGACACCAGAAATGGGCTTCACACATTGTACCCATGTAGGGAATCGATCCCGGGTCTTCGGCCTGGCGAGCGAACGCTTTAACCACTAGGCTACCCCACCGTCCCTCTAGCCTACAGAAGAAGAAGAAGAAGAAGACGATGATGATGCTGAAGAAGTTTATTCCGTATCAAAGGCCACATGACAAAGACTACAATGCATACATAAAAGCGACAAAACCCTTTTCCTATTCAATAGAAATCTCTGCTAAAAACAGAGTCGATTGTGCGATTCCAACTATATCATGAGCATGTTTTTAGGAATCACTATCAAATAGTGATGATACCAGGTGTTCGCGTAAAGATAAGCGTATAAAACGAAACTTTGGCAAAGGGACAGATGGGGCACTTCTTATGCAAAATCAATAGAATATTTATGTTACATTATGCAGGCAGGTTTCCTTTTAAATATATGGCAATAATTTGTATCTGCTTCACATTATTAGACTAATAGTTGATTGATTTTCGTTCATGATGGATACATTTAATAATAACTAGGGATGAAAGCCAAAGTTCTGTTTTCCGTGTATAATGTACAAATTGAAAGGGAATGGTATCTTCAGTTGTATTATGGTGTACATTTTTTGCACTTAAATCAATCAGTATTGACTTTTTCATTATAACGAGGGGCGGACGGGTAGCCTAGTGGTTAAAGCGTTCGCTCGTCACGCCGAAGACCCAGGTTTGATTCCCGATATGGGTACAATGTGTGAAACCCTTTTTCTATCCCGCTTCGATATTGCTGCAATATTGCTAAATGTGGCGTAAAACCATACACACTCACTCACTCACTCATTATAACGAAACTGTTGAACAGCAACCACTATAAGCATAGGCACTAATTCACTAATAATATAATCACGAATATAATCAATGTAAATTCGAGAACCATTTTCATTTGCACGCTGACAATCTACACCGAAACACTGTTCACAATCAATGGAACGTTTCCGAATATTTCAGAACACAAAGCTCTGTTCTGTATTGGAAGATGGGTCATTTTACATTCATGGGTGACTGTTTGTGTGATGGTGATGTTTTCCCTCTCGCTGGAACCAAATCGTGGTCTGATATGCTGGATAAATATACAAAACTTCAAAACAGGTGATGTGTACAATCCCGTGAAGTACTGACGATGTGATGCTCTAGGATTGAATTGGCAGAAAATGTCTGGGATAAGGCACGATATATTCATAATGTCTGTATGCCGGCCCAAGGTCTTATTGATTGATTGGTAATGTCTGTATCTACTGACTGTGACAGCCGAAGCTTGATATTGGTACTATAGCATGGAGATGTACGATGCATTAATCAGCATTCTCAATGGGCGGCACAAAGAATAGGCTTCCTGAACAACTCCCACATGAGGACTCAAACCCGAATATATTGTCCACATACCCTTGCCGAAAATCTATACAATAATTAACCCTCACGCTTCTTTCACAGGTACGTTCTTTGAAAGATCTTGACCGTCTGTGACACACCGTATTTAAGGTGAAGAGATCCGGACACAGGCCAGGTGACGGTACGAGAGTTGTTGATATGTACAGTGAACAGTTTACCGAATCTGTCTTTGTCTCTCATGTCCCCCAAAACGGTAGCCACATCCCCCTGCACAGTCATGACATGTCTTCTCTGGCCCCGGGCGTCTTGTATCACAGCTAAGATCGTCCCTTTCAGCTTCACGTCCATCGAGAATTCATACTTGGAACTTGTTTCCTCTATTGCCAGTTCAGCTACAGTCACCAGGTTACGTCTTGAGGTGATCTTTGTGTCCACGGACCACTTCACCTTATTTTCAATAGTGTTCTCTTCTTCGTTATCCACATACAGTCGATGTCCAAAACTGGCCTCCGCTTTGGAAGGTTGGGGAAGATCTGGAGGAAGTGTCAGTTCGATGCCAACGTTGATTTCCCTGGAGAAACCCTTTGTAAGTTTGGTGGTGGCTGTGGAAATCGTCTCCTTCTCAGCTCTGAATGTCTGTTCTTGGTCTTCGTCTGTGTTGTTTTGGTATTTGGAGTCATACAAGACATGTACTCGGTGGCCATTCGTTCCCATTTCCGTGTATTCTGGCCTTAACGATGTGATCCTCACCTTGTCCCACTTCAACTGGATATCAACTTCTTCAATCTTCAGCTTTCTGGACCAGACTTTTTGTCTGGGTGTCTTAAGATAGGTCGTCCAGGCCCACTCCTTGAACATCGTGCCAATGTCTGTAATTTTCGTGGACCTACCTGAAACTTTAAAGAATATCATCCGTCACAAGTCATTGTTATTGTTTCGAGAAGAAGTAATCTAGTTGTAATCATATTTAATATTATTATATTAAAGGTCACGCTGATATAAAAAATAATCTTCTTTACATGCCAGACCCGTGAGGAATTCGTCTTCAGCAACCCATGTTTGTCGTAAGAGGCGACTAACGGGATCGGGTGGTCAGGCTCGCTGACTTGGTTGATGCATGATATCAATGACGGGAGTGTCAAGACTCGATTGTTTACAGACCGCCGTCATGTAGCTGGAATATTGCTTAGTTCGGCGTCAAACAACAAAGAAAGAAACAAACAAACAAACTTCCTATGCTAAGTAATTTAGCTCATTCAAGGACTTCATCAGCGTATGACTGTGTAAATCGTTGCCATGACATTAAAGTTATGTAGGTTTTTTCGCATAAACAAGTATGACCCTTATTCCTCTGGTATCTGCAACGAGTAACTTTAAATTATAATGTTTTCAGACTGATTTATGTACATATTACCACGATATCAACTGCCGAGCAAAAGAAAATATACATTTGATTGAAAATTAAATTTGACCAAATAATTACAAACGTTATCAACACGTTTGGCGCGGTGGGGAAGCCTAGTAGTTAAAGCGTTCGCTCGTCACGCCGAAGGCCCGGGTTCGATTCCCCACATGTGTACAGTGTGTAAAGCCCATTTCTGGTGTTCCCCATATTGCTGGAACATTGCTTAAAGCGGCGTAAAACCATTCTCACTCACTATCAAAACGTTACTCGGCTGAAAACAGCCTCAGAAACGCTGCAAACTTAAGGTCCAAAACTTTACTGATACCCGTTTCAAATTCATCACCATCGAATATTAGGTGGAATATTATTAGCATCACTGCTGTCTCACTCACTCAAGCACTCACTCATTTACCTACCTGAAGGAATCGGAGCCTCAAAAGCCATGTTTTGTTGCATCATGAGACGTTCGGTCCAGTTGAAATATCATCCATCTAACACTGATGAGGTTAGTGAGACCATACTTTATATACTCGAGCTATGTTAGATATCAGACAACTATGACAGCCCGTGTTTCTATATGTTGAGTCCATGTCACGTTATTTATGGCATCAGCAACTGGAGGTATTCCCCCCTAGATAAGGGACGACATCAACACTTTCATATCTGTGTGGTTAATCGCAGGGGTTTCTACGTATAAAAATAGTGTATTCTGCCTCATGCTGCGATATGCTTACTGGAAACAAAACATAATCACTACTCGGAATTAATGACGAATAAATCAGCGTGAAGAATACATTAACTGAGTAGCACTAACACCCCAAGTATGTGTGCAGATGCTGTCGCGCGTCTAGCTGGTTTATGTTGTGTTGTAATATCAGACGATGTGTCAAATGGCATTAGTTTTGAATTTGTCTCTTAATGAATCATTTATAGGTATCGTCACAACAGGTATCGGCACTCAGGGACAAACGCACACGCACACAAACACACACAAAGTCACGCACACGCGTACACACTAACACATATTTGCTTAGCTGGTTCATAAACAAATATAGGTATGTACGTAAAACTTCTTATATTGCCACTTTTCCTCATCTTTGTAAATAAACACGTCCATAAAAAATATAAACATGTAAATGTATCCCTCTAAACAGAGATTATATATCAATATCGCAATTACAGGCACTGTATTTGACGGATCTACTATTGACTAGCTATGCGTACAGGAATGTCAAATCGATATCTTAAGCTTTGAACGCACGTAACGCCGGGTCCCGTCTGTCGATGAGAACCTATCGACATAGCTGTGCTACTGACCTAGTTGTCAATTCTTCGGGGATTCCCCTTGTCACGCAAGGTTAAACGTTATAACAGGTATGTCTTTGTATAGACATAGAGCTGACGGTTGTGTTTAACACCGGTCCTGATATAGAGCTGTCGTTTCAGACATTAGCAGATGGTTGTTTCCCTACTTTCATTTTTAATACCCACAACTAGGTATTCAAACACTTTCATACATGAACAGATCAGTGACGATATTTACAGTGTCGCATGACATAGATAACATGTTCTTGAAGCATTACAGTGCATTCGGTACGTGGCTCATTCGGGTTTGCTGAACAATTTTTATTTTATGTCATACTTTGAATATTACAAGTTTCGATTCACATCATGCTTGTTTTGGAGATAAACATACTGTGTTTTCAATGTAGATCTTCATTACCTGTAGAATAATTGCGCTAAATTGACATTGGGACCGAACGCGCAGTGTGTGATTTCAAATGTTCAATTTACATGTACATTGAAAACACAGAATGTTTATTTCCATTCTACCATGACTACATCAAACGCTAACTCTTTGGTGTTAGCAAATCTATTGAGTGAAGTGTCAAAAATTGAGTTCAGTGTTTTGAGTGGGTTGTCGATCAGAATTTACGGAACAAGAGCCTTTAAACAAAATATGGCGCTCTCTATACTCAAGCAGTTTGCTTACAGAGTAATACTTCACACGAACTTATGACAGGCACTGAAAGCATGTAGCACGGCAACTTCGTATATAACGAACACCCTTACCACGAGCTGACGTATATAACGAACTTTTTTGGGTCCCGGCCATTTGCAGTATATATGTTGTATGAATGCTTATAACGAACTACGTGTTATTACGAACTAAAATTAGTGGTCCCTTTGTGTTCGTTATAACCGTAGTATTCTAGTGTATTAACCTAACACTTGATGTGAATTTTGAGTGGAAATCATTCTGTTCGCGAGTTTTGTATGTACCATTACAGTCTCGTTAAAAAGTAATCACTCTTTGTGGAGGTGGACTGCAGTTTCAAAAATGAAACGGCAGAGAGTATATAGGAATCTTAGTTATAGATATATATTTTGTATATATACACGGAAATCGTAAATTCCTACAGTACCTTCGTGCTTTGCTATCTATCCCACGTGAGCCTATAATGCTCGCGTGTTTGATGCAAACCTATATAATGTCTTTATTATAAAAAAATTAATTTCTTATTTTGCTGAGATGTCAGCGATTCAAATTAAAGATGTTAATATGACACAGGGATTACCGTGCAGACGCCGGCAGTGAAGGATCACATCATCTTATAAGGGATCAAACATTTAGTATTCTGGGGTGCCCGGGACTTGTTTGAAAAAAGATATTTGTTCCAGAATATACGGAGATGTTTTTGGTTTGTTTGGAATTTTTTGACACAGATTATGCAAGAAACAATGTTGTACTCCTCGTTTTGGAGAAACAAATATATGCTTTGAAGCAGTGACAGAAAAAAAAAATTCTGTTAAAAATCACTGGTCACCCATTCCCCCTCCCCTACAATGTTAAATGGTTTGTCTCTTTGGCAGTGTTGCCAGTAGTTTCAGAGTAAACACCGAATGTGTAGCTTAAGTACATTAGTTTATACCGGTCCATCGCGTATATGGTAATATGTTTTTGTGTTGGAGAGAAGATAATCCTTTGATGCATAAAAGGTTTGTCATATTTATTATGTGAACTATGTGTAAGTATTATAAATGCAATTGTGGTGGTGTGCATTTAAAAAAGAAAACAAATTGTTTTCATGTGACCCGATTCATATATGTACATCGCTTTTAATATTATGACTGTTTACTGTTTTCGTTATGTCTACTGTGTCGTTTAAAGCAACGTTTATCATAGTATAGTGACGCAATCTATGCGCCGCAATCTTCCATGCAAAATTATGTCATTAAAAAGGCCGATTATTTTGATGGGCAGGTGCATACTGACATTTCGTCATCTCTTTAAGCCTGTATTGCTTGTTGGCCTGATACCTCGCGTGCAATTGGAGTAAGTGTTCTGGTTGGGTTGAACAACCACGCCTACATATGTATCTCAACATAATTTAGCAGAATATATACTTACACGTATAGGTACATAGGTGAAACTACATTACTCATTTCCCGAATAAAGTGTTAGTGATTTAGTGGTTATGTTTTAGCTCAATGTTACTTTTTTATTGTTGTGTCTGTTGTTTAACGCTGGACTCAGCAATATTCCAGCTATATCACAGCGGTCTGTAAATAATCGAGTCTGGACCAGACAATCCAGTGATTGACATCACGAGCATCGATCCACGCAGTTGGGATACGAAGACATGCATCGACCAAGTCAGCGAGCCTGACCACCCGATCCCGTTAGTCGCCTCTTACTAGTCGTTTTTTACGGCAAGCATTGGTTGCTGAAGACCTGTTCTACCCCGGATCTTCACGGGCCACTATGTTACAGTATTTCAATGATCAATGTTAAATACTCCGCATGCGAATTTCTTGTCCATACTCACTCACTGTGAGTAAACACGACTCCACTCAGAACGTGATCAAGTTTCATGTCTCTGGTTAGTCTAGAACAGTCTAGCTAACAGAGTGAGTGAGTATGGTTTTCCGCCGCTTTTAGCAACATTCCAGCAATATCACGGTGGGGGACACCCATGTAGGGAATTGAACCCGGGTCTTCGGCCTGGCGAGCGAACGCTTTAACTACCAGGCTACCCCACCTCCCCTCCAGCCTACAGAAGAAGAAGAAGAAGATGCTGAAGAAGTTTATTCCGTATCAAAGGCCACATGACAAAGACTACAATGCATACATAAAAGCGACAAAACCCTTTTCCTATTCAATAGAAATCTCTGCTAAAAACAGAGTCGATTGTGCGATTCCAACTATATCATGAGCATGTTTTTAGGAATCACTATCAAAAAGTGATGATACCAGGTGTTCGCGTAAAGATAAGTGTATAAAATGAAGCTTTGGCAAAGGGACAGATGGGGCACTTCTTATGCAAAATCAATAGAATATTTATGTTACATTAAGCAGGCAGGTTTCCTTTTAAGTATATGGCAATAATTTGTACCTGGTTCACATTATTAGACTAATAGTTGATTGATTTTCGTTCGTGATGGATACATTTAATAATAACTAGGGATGAAAGCCAAAGTTCTGTTTTCCGTGTATAATGTACAAATTGAAAGGGAATGGTATCTTCAGTTGTATTATGGTGTACATTTATTGCACTTAAATCAATCAGTATTGACTTTTTCATTATAACGAGGGGCGGGCGGGTAGCCTAGTGGTTAAAGCGTTCGCTCGTCACGCCGAAGACCCGGGTTCGATTCCCGACATGGGTACAATGTGTGAAACCCTTTTTCTATCCCGCTTCGATATTGCTGCAATATTGCTAAATGTGGCGTAAAACCATACACACTCACCTACTCACTCATTATAACGAAACTGTTGAACAGCAACCACTATAAGCATAGGCACTAATTCACTAATAATATAATCACGAATATAATCAATGTAAATTCGAGCACCATTTTCATTTGCTTTATGAAAACACGCTGACAATCTACACCGAAACACTGTTCACAATCAATGGAACGTTTCCGAATGTTTCAGAACACAAAGCTCTGTTCTGTATTGGAAGATGGGTCTTTTTACATTCATGGGTGACTGTTTGTGTGATGGTGATGTTTTCCCTCTCGCTGGAACTAAATCGTGGTCTGATTGGCTGGATAAATATACAATACTTCAAAACAGGTGATATGTACAATCGCGTGAAGTACTGACGATGTGATGCTCTAGGATTAAATTGGCAGAAAATGTCTGGGATAAGGCACGATATATTCATAATGTCTCCACGCGGGCCTAAGGTCTTATTGATTGATTGATAATGTCTGTATCTACTGACTGTGACAGCCGAACCTTGATATTGGTACTAGAGCATGGAGATGTACGATGCATTAATCAGCATTCTCAATGGGCGGCACAAAGAATAGGCTTCCTGAATAACTCCCACATGAGGACTCAAACCCGAATATATTGTCCACATACCCTTGCCGATAATCTATACCATAATTAACCCTCACGCTTCTTTCACAGGTACGTTCTTTGAAAGATCTTGACCGTCTGTGACACACCGTATTTAAGGTGAAGAGATCCGGACACAGGCCAGGTGACGGTACGAGAGTTGTTGATATGTGCATTGAAAAGTTTACCGAATCTGTCTTTGTCTTTCATGTCCCTCAAAACGGTAGCCACATCCCCCTGCACAGTCATGACATGTCTTCCCTCCCCACGGGAATCCCGTATGACAACAAGGATTGTGCCTTTAAGTTTCACGTCCATCGAGAATTCATACTTGGAACTTGTCTCCTCTATTGCCAGTTCAGCTACCGTCACCAGGTTACGTCTTGAGGTGATCTTTGTGTCCACAGACCACTTCACCTTATTTTCAATAGTGTTCTCTTCCTCGTTATCCACATACAGTCGATGTCCAAAGCTGGCCTCCGCTTTGGAAGGTTGGGGAAGATCTGGAGGAAGTGTTAGTTCGATACCAACGTTGATATCCCTGGAGAAACCTTCGGAAAGCTTGGTGGTGGCTGTGGAAATCGTCTCCTTCTCAGTTCTGAAAGTCTGTTCTTGGTCTTCGTTTGTATTGTTTTGGTATTTGGAGTCATACAAGACATGGACATTAGGTGAACTCGCCTCAACTTTCTTGTACTTTGGCGTTAGGGAGGTGATCTTCACTCTATCCCATTTCAACTGGATATCAGCTTCTTGAAACTTCAGTTTTCTTGAGAGTATATTTACTGTGGGTGTCTTCAGATATGTCGTCCAGCCCCAATCCTTAAACATCGTACCAATGTCAGGGATTCTCAAAGACATACCTGAAACTACATTCACTTGAAGATTGTAGGCATATTTTATCAATGAACAATGTTAGAACAATGTTGACATTGACAAGTCCTATCACTTTGTTGTTAGTTTGAAAGGTTTAAGTGTTAATTTATGATATCCATCAGTATATAAGGTCAACGCCAGAGAATAACCAGTGTATATTATATGCCAACACAGATCCCATTGTACGTAAAAGGCAAAATAACGAAAATTATATGAATGGATGACTGAAAATCAGTGATGACACAAGGTGGTCGCGAAAATGGTAAGCATGACCTGCTCTACCGGTAGCACCCGCCACTCACGCAATTTGCATAAAAGTGGTTGTTGTCTGACGCTGTTGTCACAACAGTACACATGCCATACGACGGCTGCCTGTGAACATTTGAGTCTTGGCCAGATAACCCACTGTCACTAAAACGCGTTTACTGATTTTGCTGAATCTAAAAATAACTTTGCATAACGTCTGCAGTAAAGAAAAACACTTTTAAAATAGGTTCGTTCAGATATGAAATATCACATTTCAGTGCTAAAACATTGGAGACAAACGATATAGTTTCATGTCAACAGCAAATTTCTCAAAACGAATTTCCCTTTAAGTCTCCGACTTGACCTACCAGAATTATTGCTTTCTTCAACGTAAGCCTTGTTCTGAGACGTCAATTATGAGACGTTGCTTCAATTCTGAATGTCCCCCATTTGTGTAGCTGGCAGATACGTAACACGTCCAAATGCAGCTCAGATATTTACATGTATAATCAGTCAGTCGTGGCAATCAAACTCCTGGAGCCATGCCATTCTACATTATGACGCGATTCTATCAATAGATCATGGATTTCCGAGAGAGATAAAGGGGTACGAGTTTTTGGTGATATGACGTGTGATTAAATATAGCATTTTGTGTCATGTTTCGATCTAGGTCACTTAAACCATGCGGTGATATCTAAGAATGTATTTTGTTCAGTGAGGGAGATAGAGTTTAGTAAACTTTGTAAAGTATTTCAGTTGTATCTGGGAGTGCTAGCTTGATGCAGGGGGAAAGCCCGAAGTGATGCAGAACTACCCCCTGGCACGTGGATTTCTTGCAATTTCATCACAACAAAGTGTCCGATATTAATACAGATAATAAAAATCAAACGTGACAATACGTTAAATTAACTGACGAGGTGGCCGAGTGGTTAAGGCGATGGACTGCTAATCCATTGGGGTCTCCCCGCGTGGGTTCGAATCCCATCCTCGTCGACAGTATCTTTTACAGAAAATGGCTTTTTCATCTTGTCAGCTCAAGCAATTCTGTGTAAAACGTAAAAACGACAATGTGTCGCGATTTAGAATGATTTAGTGTTAGTGCCGGGCGGATTGTCTTGAAACTAGGCTGGCGATAAATTGAACTTTGCGAAATCGTGTCACTACCCCCCTGGCACGTGGATTTCTTGCAATTTCATCACAACAAAGTGTCCCATATTAATACAGATAATAAAAATCAAACGTGTCAATACTTTAACTTAACTGACGAGGTGGCCGAGTGGTTAAGGTGATGGACTGCTAATCCATTGGGGTGTCCCCGCGTGGGTTCGAATCCCATCCTCGTCGAAAAGTTCATTTTGCAAATACATTTCATTTACCATTTTTCACGAGACACAGACGATTTTGTACATTGATGGTCATCAAACGGTATTGATGATGGCAGCCATTTTTCTTCTTTGCTAATTAGTCTCTTAGGATGAAAAGATACATCCTCCATGGCTGTACCTGTACATAGAGTCTGTGAGTGAAAGTGAGCCAGGTGCGTGATTAACGAGGTTCTTTCCTTCAAACCTGTCAAGGTGAAAACGTGTGACTGCCGTCTGGGCACGAGGGTATTGAACACTTACACCTTGGTCGATTGGCCGTACTCATAAAGACCAGACGTTGCAATTCGCAATATCAGCTGACGAGGTGGCCGAGTGGTTAAGGCGATGGACTGCTAATCCATTGGGGTCTCCCCGCGTGGGTTCGAATCCCATCCTCGTCGACAGTATCTTTTACAGAAAATGGCGTTTTCATCTTGTCAACTCAAGCAATTCTGTGTAAAACGTAAAAACGACAATGTGTCGCGATTTAGAATGATTTATTGTTAGTGCCGGGCGGATTGTCTTGAAACTAGGCTGGCGATAAATTGAACTTTGCGAAATCGTGTCACTACCCCCCTGGCACGTGGATTTCTTGCAATTTCATCACAACAAAGTGTCCCATATTAATACAGATAATAAAAATCAAACGTGTCAATACGTTAAATTAACTGACGAGGTGGCCGAGTGGTTAAGGCGATGGACTGCTAATCCATTGGGGTCCCCCAGCGTGGGTTCGAATCCCATCCTCGTCGGCAAGTTCATTTTGCAAATACATTTCATTTACCATTTTTCACGAGACACAGACGATTTTGTACATTGATGGTCACCACAACAAAGTGTCCATATTAATACAGATAATAAAAATCAAACGTGACAATACGTTAGATTAAGGTGAAAAGGTGAAAACGTGTGACTGCCCTCTGGGCACGAGGGTATCGAACACTTACACCTTGGTCGATTGTACGTATTCAGAAAGACCAGACGTTGCATTTCGCAATATCCATTGGGGTCTACCCGCGTGTGTTCGAATCTCAACAGGATCTTTTGACAGGAAAATACTTTTTTCATTTGTTTCAGATGAAGAAAAGCGTTGTGGAGAGTTGATATGTGATTACATTTGGTTGAACGTCGCGTTGAAGATTCTTTCTCCTATATAAATGAGTGTGCGTGCTTGCGTGCGTGCGTGCGTGGCTTCTTGTACTGGTCCGGAATAATGCCAGTTTTATAGTTGTAGCCCACTGAGATACCGTGCCTCAGTTGAACATTGATAAATCACTCAGACACCTTGCAGTGATTCCGCGCCGAGCAGTCGTTTTATCCCCCGATGCCCATAAAAAGGTCAACAACAACAAGTACCATCATTAAAGGTCTCTTGGTACGACGAGGCAAGGGCATAGAACCACTGACCTTCCGCTCTCCGAACAGACACGCTATCCACTAGACCTAGTGATGGTTGTTGATCAGTTTGTAGTGTCTATCACATTCGAGCGATGAAGCCATTGGTGACTCAATCGTATAAGATGCCAGGTTGTGCCCCTTAGACTTGCCAGGATACATTGATCGTTGGTTCCAATCACAAATCATTATGATCCTGCAGCATCTAAATTATGGTGGGGAATTGGTCCAGGGTATTTGTCAAAAGTGAATCTAAAACACTGGGTTATGGAGTATGAGAAGATCACAGTTTACAAGCAATACAAGTGTAGTAAAATCTCTACACATGAACCAGTTGCAATAAACAAATATGTACGTGTACCCGATATTTTATTGCTCATCTACTTACATTTAAATGACATTGATGACAATAAATAAAAAAAGCCGATTTGATAATTACTTCAGCGTTACAAAAGCATATGCGACATGTATTAATAACCTAATTTATGAATAATAAGACATGTAAACAACATGCGAACGTTCGGAAGGCGCTTCCAGGGAAATTAGTCATACATCACTATAAAAATCGTTTTCTTATTTTTGCTTATTGTACATCTTTCCGACGAAAAAATACAACCACATGAAACATAAACATGTTATTGGACAGTATAAGCGTTCTATTCTAATTGTTCAAATTTTATATTGAAAATATATATTATTACAGGTAATTACGGTCACCTGTCATTGACATTGAAGGCAAGTAACATAACTAGCACATATCATTATGTAAAATGTTGATTTTGTTTGGTTATAAGTTTGTCTAAAGCTACTATAGCCCATTACTAGCTACAGTCAATGATGTGACAGTATCACTCTATAAACTTCATAGTATTACACACTTGTGTGACGGTTTCAATCTATTCAGTTTCTGAAAATCATTTCTCTTTTTTATCTATTTGTTTTCCAGGCGAGACTTTCACTTTCTGGGACACGCCAAACCGGAAGTCACATTTCCCCATCACAGGCCACGTGACCTTGCCATGTTTTATTTCAACATTTGTGGGCAAAGATGTTGCAGCTCGTTCTCGTCGATCTGCAAGTATAGTTGCGACATCCCCATCAATCGTCATGGCAACAGATGTTATACCCTTGGTACCCTTGATAATTGCAGTTATCCGTCCTTTGATCATGACCTTGACCTCGAATGTCCAGTTCGAGGTTTGTTCCTCAATCTCAAGCTCTGCCAGAGTGACCGAGTTCGGTTCTGACGTCACCGTTGTGTCTGTGGACCACGTCATGGACTTTTCGATGGTATTCTCCTCGGCAGTTTCCACGGTGTAGTTGAGACCAAAACCAATCGTTGCCTTGGCGACGTCAGCAGGCAGAGACAACTCTAGACCGAAGCTGCCTTCCTTTGCGAACCCTTTAGTTACGGCTGTTGTTATAGTAGCACTTGTAGTCTTCTCGGCTCTGTAACAATTGAGAGAGTGAGTGATTGGGTAGGTGGGCCTTGAGTATAGCGGCGCTTTTGGCAGTACTTCAGTTAGTCAGCTAAATGTTGGACGACCTGAGCTGATGCAGATCTTAAACCTTTACAACTTTAGAGAAACCCAGGACCAGGCTGTAGGTTAACTGTCACATTACCATCTCATCCTACCGGGTAGCCATTTTCAGTGCTGGATGTACAGAGGCATATTTCAAACAAAGTCATTTGCCTAAGGAGACACCACATGTGCTACATCTGCTTCAGTATGGGAAAGGACCGAACCAAAAAAAACTCAGTCACGCTAGCGAACGCGGTCACCCATCCACCTAAATTCCGTTGCTTTACTTAACCTGACTTGTGACCTGTGGGATGTGCATTGGCCCATGTACGGCCACATTAAGGTCAATGCTGAATACACAGACTAGCCATTACACCTGACCATCTTGTGACCACTCTCACCTGAAGGCATGCGTCTGTGACACTCCTGTGTCGTTCTGGTACCTTGATGTGAAGACTGCCTGGGTCTCGGTGTTGGGAACGCCCTGGCTGGCCCCGGGGGTGGGGGTGTCAATCTGTGTATACACCGGCTTCTCCGACTTGAACTTGACATGATCCCAGACAAGCTGTATCTGAGCTTCTCGAAATTTGAGTTTCTTCCCTGTTGCACTTCTCAAGTAGTTTTCCCAAGCCCAGGACTTGAACAGCGTCTCCAGATCCGTCTCCGCTCCGCTGTCCTTTCCTTGGACCTAAAAGAAGATGTGTGATTACTGTTTTACGCCGCTTTGAGCAATATATCAGCACTATCGCGGTTGGGAACGCCAGGCATTGCTTTGTGTACGCATGTGAAGAATCAAACAGCGACTTTCGGTGTGACGAGCAAACGCTTAAACCACTAGGCTGCTGCACTGCCCCGGGTGAAGATTAAATGGCATGAAGTTGGTCTTCTATTCCATTTTAAGGCCTACCAATGAAAAAAAACGAAAATGTTATGTTAGTTGGTTTACGAATGGTATTTCTTAAAAACGCTGGAAGGCGGTCGAAATAAAACTACAAAACAAATAAGTTAAGGCCCTTGAATGAATTGCGTGTTTTGAAGTGAATGAAAAAATACCCCCTCTAGAACAAAAATCACATTCCCCACCCCACTCCCTTCCAATATATATTGGTCGACATTAAGAACGAAATGAAATGAGTCCACTAGACATATACTGAACCATATTTATAGCTACTGTTTTACTGAATTATGATATTGTCGAAACTATATTACACTTCAAGTCGTGACAACCTGCCGGTATGCATTCTTTACAAGCTGGATACACCTTATTGAAAACGGAAGCGGGGTGGGTTCACTTAAAATATATAAGCTTGCACATAATTCGGGAAACAATTTGCCTTTGTCAGGAAGAAATGAGTCAATTACTTGTTATTTTTGTTGAAAGCATGTCAGGAAATGATCTGGTTATATTCTTTATACGTCACATGTTTGTTTGTTTGTTGTTTACCACCGCACTATTCCTGCTGTATGTCGGCGGTTTGAAAATAATCGAGTCTGGACCACACAATCCAGTGATTGACATTATGAGCATCGATATACGGCAATTGGGATACGATCACATGCACCAACCAAGTTAAGGAGCCTGACCACCCGATCCCGTTAGTCGCCTCTTACGACAAGCATTGTCGCCTCTTATGACAAGCATGGGTTGCTGAAGACAAAATGATCAGTGTGCTTCAAAAAGGGGGTGGGTGGTGCGCAACCCTGAACCCCCTCCGTAGATCCGTGTCTTTGGTATACACGACTATCGTCAAACATCAGTCAGACCACGGTAAACTCACCCCTGACGACATAGGGATATGCAGGTAATTTTGTTCCACACCGGCTGTACTACAGCATGTTCCCATCCTGAAAGTAAACACAACTGCATAAAAATCTCGGGACACATTTTTCTCAAAAGTAAGGATGGGGGTAGTACTGTGCTTTCGAAATGATGAGAGACGACCACCTTCTATTTACCCCCCCCCCCCCCCCCCCCCCCTCCCTCCCAAAAAAAAAAAAAAAAAAAAAAAAAAAAAAAATAATAATAAATAAATAAAAAAACTAAAAACTTAAATTATTATTATTATTAATAATAATAATAATAATAATAATAATAATAATAATAATAATAATAATAACTAAAATTTAAAAATATAAAATAATTTAAAAAAATAAAAAATAAAATAAAATAAAATAAATAAAACACAACTGGGAACACATAGAACTCGTCTCTTATATTATGTCAGTTGTCAAACATGTCATTTTATGGAGTATGCTTAATATGACGCGAAACAAAATGATAAAAATAAAAAAGATTTTTATTGGCAATGGCAATCACTGATCATCATGACGCGCACACTTTGTCCTACAATTTTTCTTTTTAAGTATCTGGGCATAATCTTAAACTCACTCAATTAAAACACTTTACATCACAACCATAACGTGAAAATAACACATTATTCACAACTGTAATCACACTGTAAGTATGCTGATAAGTAGGGTTTACTTTTGATATTATATTCCGATACTTTCGCTATTGGACGAAATACGACAATGCGACTGACAATGACCAGACGCACAGTTTCAAAACGGAACAGGACACAATATCCACCGCTAGCATCAAGCTGACCAAAGGCTACAGCAAGCACGCGAATACTGGGATTGAAATGGACCTCCCGGAAGAAATGTCACGAATGAATGCTGGAGAGGAATCCCCGAATGCGAGAAAGAAACAGATGGCGACTGCTAGTTTCGGAAACAGCATTCACGTGGGAACTGACGAAAACAGCGTTGTCAGTAGGAAGAAGGCTTGGTCTGTGGACACAACGATATCCTCCAAGAGTGGGAAACTGACGATAGCCCAGCTGGAGGTGGAGGAGACAAGCGCAACTTATGAATTCGCCAGTGCCATCAAATTGAAGGGAAGGGTGGTTGCTGTCATTCGGGACAGGAGGAACATGGAGAAAGTTGTGCAGGTGGTTGAAAACGATGTGGCAACAGTTCTTAATGACGTTAATGACAGAAATGGAGGTAGGATGGGGGATTTTAGGTTTGACATGGACAACCGCACTGTTCAACTGCCACTAGAGGGCACCGTCACATTCAGATATGGCGTGTCCCAGAGGGTTAAGGTTTCCTATGGACAAAGGACTGATGAAGCAAGAAACCAAATCACCCCAAGACCCAATATGTACCCATCGATTCACTTGGAGGATGTGTGATTGCTTTTATTGGCCTAGATGTAATATCTACATCAATAATGACATAAATATGAGACATTGTTACCAGCATGTTCCTAGCATTCGTGATATTTACCTTACAGTTAATATAAATTCTGAGTGGAAACCATTTCACTGTTATTCTGTTAGTATTCCTGATTCTATTCGGAGAGTCATTATATGGATGGGTGAACGCGTTTCGGCAGTTTGGCTCCTGAGAGTTTCTAGGGCTTCGGCCCGTCCCCAAACTGAAGCACATGTACCACTTGTGGTGTCTTCTTGGACAAGTGACTTTGTTCGAAATGTGCCGCTGTTCACCCAGCAGTGAATGGGTACCCGGTAGGATGAGATGGCAAATGTAGTTTGTTAACCTAGCGCCTTTCAGGTAACGTGGGTTGTATACTCCCCAAGGAGCTGAGTATGATTGTAGCGTACACACTGACAAAGTGACCGGGGTAAAAAAAAAACCTTGAGCATGCCCCTGTGCGGTGGGGAAATATGCGCAATATAAAATGACCTGTTATGGTATGTTTTGTATTCGGGAGAAGATGCTCCTTTGATGCAGAGTACAATTGTCATATTCATTTTGTGAACATGTCAGCACCATTAAAACAATTTATTGTTTTATATCTGACCCCGTTCTTACATGTCACTTAAAATATTATGACTGTCGTTTGAGCGTTTATATCTTCTTCGCCTTATGCATGCATCGTTATTGTAAATACACGAATAGTGTCGTTGTATGTTTTTGTATTGGAGAGAAGATAATCCTGTGTCATATTTACTATGTGAACTATGTGGAAGTATCATTATTGCAATTGTGGTGGTGTCCATTTAAAAAAGAAAATAAATTGTTTTCATCCGACCCTATCGATATATGTACATCGCTTTTAACAATATTGCTTGTGATAGTTTATGTCTGCTTCACCTTATGCATTTACCGTTATTGTAAATGCACGAACAGTGTCGTTATTATTTGAAATAAATTTAAACATTTTCTATTTCATATCTTCATGTCTTTTGTGTAGATTAAAGCATATATATATATATATATATATATATATATATATATATATATATATATATATATATTTGACCGGCTCCGTGGTGTAGTGGATAGAACGTCTGCCCGGGGAGTGAAAAGTCTGTGGTTCGTTCCCGTCCCTTACAAAAAAAGACGTTCAAAGATGGTACTTGTTGTTACCATGCCTGGCGCTCGGCACAAAGGGGCTAAAAGAAGCACTGGTCGGCTTCTAGACAGTATACTGTGCCTGAATGTTATACTGCGGCATGGTATCTCAGTTGGTTGGCACTGTAAAGTCGGCAATAGTCCGGACTAGTACAAACAGCCACACACACGTGTACCACCTTGCTATAAAAATGCTAAAATACTGAACGCGAAACCCCATTTCACCTCGACTCACCTTAAAACTTTTTTGATAGTATTGTTGAGAGGAACGAGTGGCCCTTAGGCGTAGCAGAAACAACTTTGAATCTAAACGATTTTCCAGTATGGCAACGTGACCTTAAGGTCATCTAGAGCAATACAGGAAAACAACCTTGAAAGTTCATGTGAAATCTCCACAGCCTGCTTACCTAACTCGAGATCCTCCTCAGTCCAGAAAGCACCATCTTCACGAGGCAAGAGAGTTAACTGACTATAAAAGTCCAGTTTCCACCCTTGCCGAACTAGGCTGGTATTATGGAGTTACATTTTGGCTGGACTAACCAGTCTATGCATAATCCAATCAAAACCGCGCAACAAAATTGAAATCCGGTTCGTAATCTGTCGTGCAGATTTCGGTCGCTTGCAGGATTTGGAAAGAATGTGCACCGTGATTTGATGCACTTCGCGATGTAAGACCGTTTTATCGCAATATAGATGTTGATTATCGATCAGATCGTCTTGACTGGGTGGCGCCATAAATGCTAGTGATACGAGAAGTGGAATCTGGTCCATAGGAGAGGCTTAGAAGGGACATAACTCGTAATAACCGCTGGTGGCGCTACGATCGAGCCCAGGAATTCCAGCCTAGTTCGGCAAGGGTGGAAACTGGACTTTTAAAGTCAGTTAGCTCTCTTGCCTCGGGAAGATGTATAGCACTTACTCACATGACATCATCAGAAGAGAGTGAGTGAATTGAATTTAACTCCTTTTTAAAGAATATTTCATTTAGACCATGGCATGTCATGAGGCCGTAAAGCCGTTTGTCACTTTCGTGAAACCCAAGAGTATGTGTATGGTGATGTTAAACCAGAAAGTATTTGCGAACGTTGGATTCGAACCCTCGATAATAGGTTGTTTGCATACCGAAGGGACGCAAGTATGCACAGCGAATTGCGGCGCCTTAGACGACTGGCCCACCCATGCCCCCCATCACAACATAGAATATTCCATATGTTTCTATAACTCTCTATCACAATCGACAGTATTCCGGATGTTTACACATGACACCAGCATCTAAATATAGTAACTTCCTTACAACTGCTTACATTATGCAGTACTACATTCCTGCCAACTAATCACTGTCCAAACACAATGCAATGAGCGTCTACCGAATCTCAACAGAAGCAATGTAAAACAGTTACAATCATTGTTCAACAATAAAATACACTGCCATAAACAGGTGATACCCAAGACAACGGGAATGGTGCTGACAAACCTAGAAACATGATCGGGGAGACCGGTTTGGATCAGTAGAATGACTAGTATGAACTTGGCTGCATTTGTATTGCTGTTTTCACCATAGTTGCAAGTATAAATAAATGACAAGAGGCATCATTATCACCATCGTTTCAATCCGGAGCAGTAAGCATGTTCATATAAGATAACCAAACGCTGAGATGTCTGACATTTCAAACACTAATTGGGGCGGTCGGGTAGCCTAGTGGTTAAAGCGTTCGCTCGTCACGCTGAAAACCCGGGTTCGATTCCCGACATGAGTACAATGTGTGAAGCCCATTTCTGATGTCCCCCGCCGTGATATTGCTGGAATATTGCTCAAAGCGGCGTAAAACCATATTCACTCACTCAAACATTTATTAAATGGCTTCAATGTATTCATAAAAAATCTAAAACTGATAAAAATGGATCATAAAACTGTGCATGAAGTTAAACATGTTATGAGATATATCGTATCTGAAAATCCGGTCACTGATCGTAAGATTTCATGCAGGTCGTTAAAGACGTCCCAGGGGGCTGAATACCCATAATGCGTTGTTGTCTTTATTATCTTAATAGAATGTTGAGGGTCGGCCCATTTCCTAAACATATTCTACTTGTAATCAGTTGTGTGTACAGATATTGTGCGGTATCCAGACGAAATGCTTGCGGTAACAACAGTTAGTGACCTCCACAGTGTTCCGTGAGTAAACTCGACTCCACTCAGAACGTGATCAAGTTTCATGTCTCTGGTTAGTCTAGAACAATCTAGCAAACAGAGTGAGTATGGTTTTACGCCGCTTTTAGCAATATTCCAGCAATATCAAGGCGGGGACACCAGAAATGGGCTTCACACATTGTACCCATGTAGGGAATCGAACCCGGGTCTTCGGCCTGGCGAGCGAACGCTTTAACCACAAGGCTACCCCGCCGCCCCTCTAGCCTACAGAAGAAGAAGAAGAGGAAGCCGATGATGATGCTGAAGAAGTTTATTCCGTATCAAAGGCCACATGACAAAGACTACAATGCATACATAAAAGCGACAAAACCCTATTCCTATTCAATAGAAATCTCTGCTAAAAACAGAGTCGATTGTGCGATTCCAACTATATCATGAGCATGTTTTTAGGAATCACTATCAAATAGTGATGATACCAGGTGTTCGCGTAAAGATAAGCGTATAAAATGAAGCTTTGGCAAAGGGACAGATGGGGCACTTCTTATGCAAAATCAATAGAATATTTATGTTACATTAAGCAGGCAGGTTTCCTTTTAAATATATGGCAATAATTTGTATCTGCTTCACATTATTAGACTAATAGCTGATTGATTTTCGTTCATGATGGATACATTTAATAATAACTAGGGATGAAAGCCAAAGTTCTGTTTTCCGTGTATAATGTACAAATTGAAAGGGAATGGTATCTTCAGTTGTATTATGGTGTACATTTATTGCACTTAAATCAATCAGTATTGACTTTTTCATTATAACGAGGGGCGGACGGGTAGCCTAGTGGTTAAAGCGTTCGCTCGTCACGCCGAAGACCCGGGTTTGATTCCCGACATGGGTACAATGTGTGAAACCCTTTTTCTACCCCGCTTCGATATTGCTGCAATATTGCTAAATGTGGCGTAAAACCATACACACTCACTCACTCACTCATTATAACGAAACTGTTGAACAGCAACCACTATAAGCATAGGCACTAATTCACTAATAATATAATCACGAATATAATCAATGTAAATTCGAGAACCATTTTCGTTTGCACGCTGACAATCTACACCGAAACACTGTTCACAATCAATGGAACGTTTCCGAATATTTCAGAACACAAAGCTCTGTTCTGTATTGGAAGATGGGTCATTTTACATTCATGGGTGACTGTTTGTGTGATGGTGATGTTTTCCCTCTCGCTGGAACTAAATCGTGGTCTGATATGCTGGATAAATATACAATACTTCAAAACAGGTGATGTGTACAATCCCGTGAAGTACTGACGATGTGATGCTCTAGGATTGAATTGACAGAAAATGTCTGGGATAAGGCACGATATATTCATAATGTCTGTATGCCGGCCCAAGGTCTTATTGATTGATTGATAATGTCTGTATCTACTGACTGTGACAACCGAAGCTTGATATTGGTACTATAGCATCGAGATGTACGATGCATTAATCAGCATTCTCAATGGGCGGCACAAAGAATAGGCTTCCTGAATAACTCCCACATGAGGACTCAAACCCGAATATATTGTCCACATACCCTTGCCGATAATCTGTACAATAATTAACCCTCACGCTTCTTTCACAGGTACGTTCTTTGAAAGATCTTGACCGT